GCTGTGCCGCGCCGCCGGCGAGGTGGGGTAGTTTGGTTAGCCACGGAGCCCTCCACCACGAAGGGGTGGTCCCCCTCTCCAGGGAGCAGCGAAGCCCGGATCACGAGGAGCAGAAGTGGGTGCTGCCCACCCAGAACTGACAACTCTCCCCCACACGAGCCTGCCACCGTCTAATCGGCACAGCGTGTGTGCTCCAGAGCCCGGGACGAGGGCGCCCCCAGGCACCCCACGGCAGGACCCGCCGGTGGACAGACACAAGTGCGAGGAAGGGAGGTGCTGACCCGTGTCCCGACGGAGCGATGAAGTACAGACAGCACTGCACCCGGCTGTCGGGCATCTGCCGGCGGTTCACCCGCGACTCTGCGTTCAGGTAGTCCTCGAACTTACTGTCGATGTAGTCGGTGACGGGCTGCCAGCTGCGGAGCAAGAGGGACGGGTGGTTACACTGCGGTCACACCGGGCGACAGCTACCGGCAGCGAAGCGGCGTGGCCACTCTCCTTACATAGCATAGCCAGTCTCCCACCGGGAGAGTTTCAACTCCACAAAATGACTCGGAAGCAAGTAGAACTTCTGTTGAATAAACCTTGATTATGTGAAAACTTTCCAATGGGAAAACCGCAGCTAGATTATCATTAGCATACCATTGGCACTGATAGGTACATCGATGCTAAGACTCTCTACAAAATAAAAATGATTAAATCTGCAGACTTTTAAATTTCAGATGAAGAGATTAAACAATAGAAAAGTCTCACGATGAACTTACTTGAGAGTTTATGGAAAATCACCTCAAAAACAAAGTAGAATGCAAAGAAAAAATGAAAATACTGTTATATGAGATAATTACTTAGATTAGAATTTCACAGGTCTTTTTCTTATGAATCATGGAAAAACTGAAAGCTTACAAATCAGGTTCAAATTAGGATGTCAGAAAATAATTTATATAAATGAATAAAATTACAGTAAATAAAAAGTTTTAAATTTCTGATTAATGAGTTTTTTTTTTTTTTTAGAAAGGTTTTTGCCAAAGGGTGTGTGCACTCCCCAGAGAGCAATAGTGAGAGGTAAACCCCGAGGGGTGATGGCCATGCTGCAATCCCTTCTGCTCCATTCTCCTGGGATTCTTGACACATGCAAACGTGTGCAGTGTGATTTTTAAGCTGCTGGGTCTGGGACTTGAACCACAGTCAGCCAAGGGGAAGTCTAGCACCTTAACCACCACACCAACTGCTGGCCCCATAATGAGCATTCTTTTATCTGGCTATGTTGTTTTAGCATTCATGTTAAAAATAATTTCTGGGTAGGACTTATCTCCGACTGGCAGAAAAGGAAACTGGCCCCACAGCGCTTAGCCACGCTGCCGAACGGGTGGGCCGAGCTGTCGCCCAAGCTCAGCGGCCTCTCTGGCTCGGCGAGCTTTGAAGGGTAGGCAGATGTCTGACCCCAGGCCGCCCCGACACGCTGGGGGCAGTGAGGACAGGCCTTCTTACCAGTTACTATTACCCCCCGCACCTCCGAATCCGGGGGTGTCCACTATCGTGAGCAGCAGCTGAACCCCACCTTCCTTGATTAACACTTTGGACTGCTCCACCTGGAAGAGTCACCGGTGCAGAGGTTAACACGCATCTCCAGCCGTTCCCCAAGGCTCCCACAGCCCCGTACAGGGGCCGCTTCCCACACGGCCTGTGCTGGAAGCTTGTCCCCGTGCACTCTTACCGAGATGTGGGGGACCTTCGGGAGGTGTGTCCTAGTGGGCAGTTTCTGGGTCACGGGGACCCCCTGCACACTCTGTGTGCCCCCCGTCCCCACGGTGCCGTGACACAGCACACGGTCCTGGCCCTGTGAGGCTCCAACCTCGGACTGCTGGGCCACCGCCATCGTTTTTCCCTAATTAACCACCCTCCTCGGGGATTGCTGCAGCAACGCTGAATGGACTAGGGCAGAGACGAGGCGGTCTCCTGCGGTCACCCCGGGCGACCGCTGCCGGCAGCGAAGCGGCGTGGCCACTCTCCTTACATAGCATAGCCAGTCTCCCACCGGGAGAGTTTCAACTCCACAAAATGACTCGGAAGCAAGTAGAACTTCTGTTGAATAAACCTTGATTATGTGAAAACTTTCCAATGGGAAAACCGCAGCTAGATTATCATTAGCATACCATTGGCACTGATAGGTACATCGATGCTAAGACTCTCTACAAAATAAAAATGATTAAATCTGCAGACTTTTAAATTTCAGATGAAGAGATTAAACAATAGAAAAGTCTCACGATGAACTTACTTGAGAGTTTATGGAAAATCACCTCAAAAACAAAGTAGAATGCAAAGAAAAAATGAAAATACTGTTATATGAGATAATTACTTAGATTAGAATTTCACAGGTCTTTTTCTTATGAATCATGGAAAAACTGAAAGCTTACAAATCAGGTTCAAATTAGGATGTCAGAAAATAATTTATATAAATGAATAAAATTACAGTAAATAAAAAGTTTTAAATTTCTGATTAATGAGTTTTTTTTTTTTTTTTAGAAAGGTTTTTGCCAAAGGGTGTGTGCACTCCCCAGAGAGCAATAGTGAGAGGTAAACCCCGAGGGGTGATGGCCATGCTGCAATCCCTTCTGCTCCATTCTCCTGGGATTCTTGACACATGCAAACGTGTGCAGTGTGATTTTTAAGCTGCTGGGTCTGGGACTTGAACCACAGTCAGCCAAGTGGAAGTCTAGCACCTTAACCACCACACCAACTGCTGGCCCCATAATGAGCATTCTTTTATCTGGCTATGTTGTTTTAGCATTCATGTTAAAAATAATTTCTGGGTAGGACTTATCTCCGACTGGCAGAAAAGGAAACTGGCCCCACAGCGCTTAGCCACGCTGCCGAACGGGTGGGCCGAGCTGTCGCCCAAGCTCAGCGGCCTCTCTGGCTCGGCGAGCTTTGAAGGGTAGGCAGATGTCTGACCCCAGGCCGCCCCGACACGCTGGGGGCAGTGAGGACAGGCCTTCTTACCAGTTACTATTATCCACCGCATCTCCGAATCCGGGGGTGTCCACTATCGTGAGCAGCAGCTGAACCCCACCTTCCTTGATTAACACTTTGGACTGCTCCACCTGGAAGAGTCACCGGTGCAGAGGTTAACACGCATCTCCAGCCGTTCCCCAAGGCTCCCACAGCCCCGTACAGGGGCCGCTTCCCACACGGCCTGTGCTGGAAGCTTGTCCCCGTGCACTCTTACCGAGATGTGGGGGACCTTCGGGAGGTGTGTCCTAGTGGGCAGTTTCTGGGTCACGGGGACCCCCTGCACACTCTGTGTGCCCCCCGTCCCCACGGTGCCGTGACACAGCACACGGTCCTGGCCCTGTGAGGCTCCAACCTCGGACTGCTGGGCCACCGCCATCGTTTTTCCCTAATTAACCACCCTCCTCGGGGATTGCTGCAGCAACGCTGAATGGACTAGGGCAGAGACGAGGCGGTCTCGTCAGAGCCGATAGCGAGCTGCTGGCCTCGTGCACCAGCGCCCATGTCTTCTTTGGGCTCGAGGCTTGTGCACGCTGAGGTCCTGGTGACGCGGAGGGAGAGCACGTGTGCAAGCTCTCAGTGGGGTACGGCCCGTGCCTGGTACACGGTAACCGACCAAAGCTCTGTGACACGTACGGGACCCAGCACAGCTCGTGACTCAGGTGAGCGACCTGCTCACACTCAGTGCTCACGGAGTTCACTGTGCCCCAACCCAGCGCTGACAGCCTCTGCCTAGGCTGGTCCAGAGCGTCTGCTCAAGTATCACTAGCACTCACTCCCGCACCCTTCTCAGCATGGCTGTTAGTACACGTGTGTGTATGGCATGGCTGACAGCCGGTCCCCTTCTCAGATGGGCTACTTCCATCGAACACCACCATGAGCAAAGGCCCAGCGAGTGAACAACTGTGTTTGGGTAGGGTTAAACTGCCAATTCTGATTAAAATCTTCAGTTCTCTTTAGAAAGGTTTTAAATGTCTTATCTGAGAAAAGACAATGAACTTAAACAACAGTACCTACCACAACTCAGTATTTTCTGTGACCACAAGTTCTGTACCAGAAGGCATACATGCACACACACATACACACACACGCACACATATGCGCACACACATTTATACATGTATACACGTGCACAAATACATACAGACGTATACACACATACATACACAGGTACACACACATGCGTTTGTTTACACATGTAACACATCTCACACTCTGGCCACGTGCCGCTGTTAAAGGCAAACCATCGGCTTCCAGGCAGGACCAGAGAGAGAGAGAGACACCACGGGGTTCCACAGAACAGGGGGCCGTGCTCCGGAGGGTGACGAGCTCTCCCTCACTGCACGTGTCTGTCTGCTCATGAGGGACGGCGGCTCTCGGGCCACTAAGCCTAGCTAAGGAGGCAAGAATGCAGCTCCTGCTCTGACTGGTGAAAGCCACAGTGGGATAAACTACGTGCTACTGCACTTCAGGACAAATACGACCACCTGAAGAGGACTTGAACCGTTACGTCCATTACCAGAGCGTGGGCAGAAAGGGACTAATCCTTGGTAGGAAAAGCTCCAACCGCCGTTTGGAAAGGAGAGGGATTTTGATTTCCCTCTGGCAATCTGGCAGATGCTGGCTGAAACCTAGAGTCTGCACGCCTGGGACAAAGACTGTCAAGCAGGAGAGCCTGTCCCCAACGCCGTCCGAGACCACGGCACTGCTCTCCAGCCACGCTGTCCCATTCGGTGCACCTGAGGAGCTGAGGGCTGACTTTCAGTTCCTTCGATTCACTGTGAATTTAAACAGCCCACGTGGCTAGTGATACGCACATGTGTGTTGTGTAACAGCAGTCCCCAGCGCTGTGCGCCCGCCCTTGATGAGAGGATGGGAAGCTGTGACAGCTCCGAGCTCTTGAGGTTCCCCTTTTTAAGTGCACAGAGAAATGAATATTTACTCGTATTTGATCTTTAGGTTGCCAAAAGCGCATGTGTGGTAGATAACTATATTTGGGGCGCCCAATATTTTTACTGAGAGTTTATGCCAGGATCAAAGCAGTTTGACAACACTGATCTAAAAAGGGCAACACCGTGACACAGGTCACCCCGAGGAGAAGCAGGGGGCAAAACAACTTGGAAAACAATCAGTGTCAAATTATGAAAACTAAACGTGTAAATGGTACACCTCACCTGGCTTAGGAAGTCCGCATTTAATCTATCTGACAGTTGTCTAGTCAAAGGACAACGCGGTCAAATCGAACGTCCCGGTCTGTCCTCAATTCGCCCCACACCCTGCGTCACCACGCTGACGATTCCCCCGCCGCTGGTGCAGACACCCACAATAGCCACGCCGCTCCTGCACCCAGGACCCTTCTAAAGGAGATGGCACCGTATTCCAGCCCTGCCTGTGCTGTGAGCCATCTGTCACCTGGACTGCTAGCCACTTCCGGTCCCTGGACTAAACAGCCCGCTGGTCATCCTGCTGTAATCACGCGCCGTACTCAATACAGCAGCTTGACTTTTAAGACGTTTTCTTGTTTAAAAAAAATAGTTCAACAACGTAACTGCTGTCTGATTTGACATGAAAATGAAGGTTTACATTTCATATACTTCAAGGAGTCTTCGTAAAGCTTCTTCTCTTGCGGGGCCCGTGAGATCCTGTGCTTCCATACATGGTCAAAGACAAAGCGGTCGGTAACAGATGGAAGAGATCCAGGAGCCCAGCTGGAAACCACCGCCGTTCACAGGGCCAACCGTAGCCTATCACGGGCTTGGCAAGCATCCTCATGGGATCCACGGAAAACAAATTAGGGCAAGTCCAGGAATGTCAAACTTTTCTTAACAAATCTATTCCAAATGGCCACTTTCCCATGCACTTTCCTTAAGCAGGTCACATCAGCATGTTTTATGGATCTCTCAGAGTTCTTGAAGATTAAATGCATAATTTAATAGCGAAGGACTCGATCGGAGATTTTCAAAGCTGTTTCTCCCTAAGAACTAAGTAACACTAAAGTCCTTATATTGTTTATGGATAATTAATTTACTGATGCCTCTTCTGGCTTCTTAAATTCCACAAGTCCAAGACTTTTTTCTAATAATGTTTAATACCAGAAAAAGTCATGCCTCTAATGCTTATTATACAGCTGCATAGCCAAAGACTACGTTAAACTCTTCTACCCTAATGTTTATGAGCTATTTACTAAGGAAAAGAAAACGGTTAAATTAGCTACATAAAATTCAGAAGAATGTTCAGTGAAAACTTTGGGTCAGGAGCGTACTTCTTCCCACTGTACCCAGGAGGTGGCATGATGGCACAGCCTTGAAGAGGCTAGGACAGCCTAAGGTGCTCACTTAGCTCCATCTTAAGAGCTCGCTACTTTGATTATTTAACAGCTCAACACCAAACATTACCTTAAATGCTTCAACACGTTCCACGAGAAAGTGAAGGGGGAAACGACAGGACAGCTGTGCCTTCTCATAAAGCTCCGAACCAGCTGACTGAGAGGCTGGTCCAGAGTGCAGCACTGCCTTGAGCTCCCCGAACCCCTCCCGCACCGTCCTCGTCTCCCCACCGAGACCGCAGAGCAGAGCCGGCCTGCTCCTTCTTAGTGAGCAAGCCTCCTCCCATCCCTTTGTTCTGGACTAGATAAACCCACCTACCACCTTCCTGTTCCTGTACCCCCTCCTGGGTGGGAACTTCAGCTACAGCTCCCAGCGCCCCTTCCACGACTGCTCCTCAGCCTCACGCCTCACCCGTTCCCAGTTCCCGGCATGGCTCTTCCCAGGCCCTCCACCCTCCCATGTCTGCCACCACGCTCAGCAACTCTCTCCTCTCCCCCTGGAGACGGGAGGGCTCTTTCTTGCTAAGCTACTGATAATGTCTCAATGTGTGTTGCAGATTGGATCATCTCTCTTCAACAGCCATCTAGACAGCTATGTGTACTACCTCCCCCGCCATCTGCCAACTCGTTCGCCTCTTAGGGACAGATTCCCCACAGGACAGCCATTCTCGGGGCTCTTTTCAAAAACACAAACCACTTTATTAGACCGCTACATCAGCCCTGGCTGTTTGCTCTCTCCCCTTCCTCACAGCTACTGCCTCATCCTCACCGCCCCACTCCCCGCTCACTTCCCAGCCCCTGCCACCCGCCCCCCCATCCTGCTCCCTAAAGCTGGCCAGTCACCTCCCAGCGCCCGAGAGCACCCCTTTCTCAGGGCTCCCACAGTCTGCCTACACCCTTCACCTGACGAGACCTCTGAGAACACCGACTTTGTCCACTGCACTGTAGCTTCTAACCTGGACCAAGAGAAACCTTCGAATGTCTGTCATGTGGCGGGCTCGTGTTAAAAACCACTAAAAGGGACAATCCCCACTACAGTGACTGCTAGTTGGGCTCCATATAAACTCTCAAGGCGTCCGCAGAGCATGTTATCCTGGGAACAAGACCCACTGCTTTCAGCTTTTCCCACCTCCAACATTTATGTGTCATGCCATCTCTAACAGTAATTTACAAACTTCAGACAGCAGGAAAGTTTTAAAAGGGACAACGGGACCAGCGGGTGACATGGTGGTTAAGGTGATAGACACTCCCACATGGCCGACCAAGGTTCAAGTCCTGGACCTGGTGTCTTGCTTTCTCACTTTCTCTGTCTCTGTCTCTCTCTGGTCAAATTAAAAATAAATGAACAAATAAAGTTAAATAAATAATTCTTTTTAAAAAATAAAGGGGACCAACTATAAAGTGCCAACTAAGAACTTAAAAGAAAAAAATAAACTGTCTTTTCACACAAAAAAATCTTTTAATAGGATCCATTAAGAAAAAATTGGGGGACCAGCAGTAAGCATAATGGTTATGTCACTGGACTCCCATGTAGTTGACCGCAGTTCGCATCATGGAACAGTGGCTTAAACTCACGCCAGGCGCATGTGCATGCATGCCCAAGATCCTGAGAGGAGAATGGAGGAGAAGGGATTGCGGCGAGACCATCCCCCCTGGGGGGTGATTTCTCGCTTTCTCTCTCTCTATCTCTCTCTTTCTGGCAAGTGCACATGCCCTATTGCAAAAACCTCTCCAAAAAAAAATAATTATTAACATTTAAATAAGGAACTACCTCAATCAGTTAAGAGACAGAAGATAATAAAATGACCAAAGCACTTCAATGAGGTCTGAACATTTAATGAGCATAAAATATTCAGCCTCACTAGAGATCAGCACAAGTAAACGGGAGTGACAGGGAGTGAGAAAACACCTTCATGTCTGCGCGCAATGGCAACACTGTCCGAGGGCACCAGAGCCCAGGGTGACGGAACTCCTGCAGCAAAGCCTGAACACCCGGTCGCCGTGGCCACAGCACAGCACCTCCCACGTGGTAAATGACACTCATAGCGTGGCGATCAGGGACAGGTGGGGCCCCGGGTCAGTGAGAGTCGGTCTCTGCGGGGAGCTAAAACGGCCTGCACGTGTCTGGGTGGCAGTCACCGGATCTGCACACAGGCTCCTCTACTTACAAGGGCCCATGGCCCAAAAGCCCATTACAAAGCCGAACACTCATGAACTGCCAGGTGTTGGGACCTCCAGTGCACGTACGTGGACGTGCATGAAACTCCAGATGCAGATGTGCGGCCTTTTCCCTCGAAGGCGTTTCTTATAAAGCATGCGCACAATAAAGGTGAGAAGACAGAAAAAGGAAAACACACTCACAGATCCAGGAGGGCGACTCGTTGAGAGTCCTGCCTCAGAGACGTCACGACCCGTGGGCCACAACGGTGCAGGTACACCCACACCACGCAGCCCTCGGTGTGCGAGTGTGCATTTGTTGCAGAGCACGGGCAGGTCTCTGTGTGTCTATCTGTTTGGACGCCCATTGGCACAACTTATTGCCGGGTGAATCAAGGGGGCCCCTCACTCAGTGGCCTGCCTGTTTGGGGGCGCTCCAGCATCAGAATGCCCTTCTGCAGACTGTGGGGATGGGGCTCCCCTCTCTCCGTCTGTCTCCTCCCTGGTTGGGCAGTATTTATCACACAAAGCATTCGCAATCATGCAAGACTACGTATCTCATTTATGATCTGAATGCATGAACTGGTGCACCCAGAGTAGTATCTAGAATAAACAGAAATGATTACACTGGATTAATGCTGTGATTTGTCTTGTGGCTTCCTGGCCCTTACCTACCGTAAGCTTTCCGTCTGGGCAGGATTACATTAGCCTGGTGTGGGCACATGTTATCTGCTGGAGAATACAGACCCTACAGCAGCATAGCACACCATTAGACACGGACCTACAGCTCCGCGCTTATCGACCAATTCGCTTAACGACCTAACACGGGGACGAGCTCGGCCGTCATGTGAGCAGGGCCTGTAGTCCTGTTATCTTTCCTAGACAGAGTAAAGTAAAACATGGCAAATTACAGAACTTTCCTGAGTTCACTGGCTTCCTTCCTACCTAAAGGACTTTACTGCATTCTCACGCTTAGTACCTAAAGAGGTCAGTAGCTCCCTGAATCTGGCTTGCAAATCCAAAGCTGAGAAGCAGTTGTAAACACGTGTGCACTTAAGATTAAAGAAACTAAAACCCGCACCTTTACTAGTCAGCATTAGACAGGCAGTCACTTGGTCTATAAAGGCATTTTCTTTTCTTAGAGAGATTTTTGCTATAGGGCATGTACACTCAACAGAGAGGCTGAGAGAGAGAGAGACAGAAAGCGAGAAATCATGCCCCAATCCCTTCTCCTCCATCCTCCTCCTGGGATTTTGGGCACGCATGCACACACACCTGGAGTGAGTTTTAAGCTACCAGGTCCAGGACTCGAACCACAGTCAACTACATGGGAGTCACATGTTATCTGCTGGAGAATACAGACCCTACAGCAGCATAGCACACCATTAGACACGGACCTACAGCTCCGCGCTTATCGACCAATTCGCTTAACGACCTAACACGGGGACGAGCTCGGCCGTCATGTGAGCAGGGCCTGTAGTCCTGTTATCTTTCCTAGACAGAGTAAAGTAAAACATGGCAAATTACAGAACTTTCCTGAGTTCACTGGCTTCCTTCCTACCTAAAGGACTTTACTGCATTCTCACGCTTAGTACCTAAAGAGGTCAGTAGCTCCCTGAATCTGGCTTGCAAATCCAAAGCTGAGAAGCAGTTGTAAACACGTGTGCACTTAAGATTAAAGAAACTAAAACCCGCACCTTTACTAGTCAGCATTAGACAGGCAGTCACTTGGTCTATAAAGGCATTTTCTTTTCTTAGAGAGATTTTTGCTATAGGGCATGTACACTCAACAGAGAGGCTGAGAGAGAGAGAGACAGAAAGCGAGAAATCATGCCCCAATCCCTTCTCCTCCATCCTCCTCCTGGGATTTTGGGCACGCATGCACACACACCTGGAGTGAGTTTTAAGCTACCAGGTCCAGGACTCGAACCACAGTCAACTACATGGGAGTCCAGCGATGTACCCATTACGCCATCTGCTGGACCCTCTAAAGGCATTTTCTATGTTCTTTTAACTACTCTCATGTATCATACATCCATGATGAAGAAAATGCTTCACTCATCACATCATTTTGCCTAAATTGCCTGATTGTGAAAACTGCCTTACCTTATCAGAATATGAGCAGAAAACACAAAGCAAACCCAAGAACCTTGATAAGTAGTCGGACCAAATAAGATCCCAAAGAGTGACGTGGAGTAAGTTCATGTACCACTAACCCTCATTCAGGCCTACGGTACAGGGCTAACGTGACTGGGCAGAGCGCAGACTTCACGAGGCTGCCTGGTCTCACTGCTCCGGGTCAGGACACGGCACCGACGACAGGCCCGACACACGGCCGTCTCTGCTTCCTCACCTGTAAAGCGCCGGGATACTGTCACCTGCCTCAGGAACAAGCAGCCTCAGTGAGTTAGTGTCCGTGAGACCCTGAGGCAGCACTTGAGGACACGAGCGCTTAGCTTCTGGGTGTTAGGTTCTATTACCGACTTAGACCCGCATCATGCTCTGTCTGCACTGCAGAAAGGACGGGGAAAGCCCTCCTCCAGAGGTAAGCAGCAAGGACAGCACTGGCAGGTGCAGGACAGGCAGCGCTCTCCGGCGTCTCGCACTACGCGCTTCTGCTCTTAGGCTCTGCACTCTACGGAGCGCAGGAAGGACTGCTAAATGCCAGCTTACTGATCTTGAATTTAAACACTAAATTTCAAACGTCGAAGACCAGCCCTGTGGCCTGGCGGTTAAAGAAGCCGGGTCTCACATGGTGCGCAGCGTGGATCAAATCCCGGCCCCAGCAGCCTGAAACACACGTGGGCACGTGTGCATGCATGCCCCAAATGCAGACGGGAAAGGAGGAGAGGGGCCACAGCATGACCACGCCTACCCGGGGGAGCTCTCTCCCTCTCCCTCCCTCTCCAGCAAGCGCACACACCCTGTGGAAAACTAGAGTCAAAAGCTCATCTCCTTGCTCAAGGCAGGGCCACGTTTTTAGAGCACAGTTTTGGAGGTGACTTTACATCTCAAGTCCTGCGTGGGGTGGGACCAGCAGGTGCAGAGGTGAAGGTGCTGGACCCCAGATGGCTGATCATGGGTTAGATACTGGATCTGGCAGCTTGAAAACCACACCGGGCACGTGTGCATGCATGTGCACAATCCCAGGAGAACGGAGAAGGGGCTGCAGGGTGGCCATCCCGATGACTTCTCACTTTCCCTCTTTCTCTGTCTCTCAGGCAAGTGCCACATACCCTACGGCAAAAATATAAAAGTAAACAACTCAAGCTCTATGAAAACTCTTCTCGAAAAAATTTTAAAAAGAGAGAGAGAGAGAAAATATTCGCTGCACAAAACGACTCCTTGGCGATATAATCACGGAGCTGCATGTTCGATTTGACGTTTGTGAGCTTCTGCTTGGCATACACAGACAGCCTTTCCACCCTGGGTGCCGGGAGAGTCACCGTCACTCGTCACACGGTCCGCGAAGGACCACTGCCTCAGTGGCGCCTGCCAGTCAGCACTGTTCACGACCCCCCAGCTCACAGGCCGTGTACTGCTGCATCTGGACACCAATTTTCCAGTCAACGGCTCAGAGCATCGCTACCAAACAAACGCAATGTGAGCCACACAAAGTAACTCCGAACGCTTCAGCAGCCTCTCTAAAAGCAGTAAGAGACGGGAAAATTAATAAATTCTATTTAACCTAATACATGTAAACTAGTGTCACTACAACACTACATCAATACAGAAATCATTAATGAGGTTCTTAACACTGTTCTATTACACACTGAGCCTGCAGCGTCTGGGGCGATGTCACACCACAGAGCTCCACACCACGGGTCGCGAAAGCCTCCTTACTGGAAGTGCAGACCCAGAGTCTAAAGCACTGACTGCCCTCTGCTGCGTGGAATCGTGACCCCACACGCACCCAGTAGGATCGGAATGACCTGGGTCTTACTAGAAAGGCACTCAGCCCACCTCAGACCTGGACAACAGGAACTAAACTCGCCAGGGCCCAGGCCCCGGATGCGCCCCGAAGGCAGGACTCTGACAGCACACAGCTCAGGAGCCTTGCAGACGCCACCCCACTCAGATGTCAGATACGGTGTGGCCCACGCCTGGCAACCGAGGAAGAGCACGGAATCAGTGACGGGAGCCACTGCCCCATGAGGCCTTCTCAAGGGTGGGCGTGCTCCCTAAGGTGCAGCCCAACATGGTCGCCTGCATCCCAAACGCGGCTATCAAGCAGCAGACGCGTGTCTGTGTAACTAAGGCAGTCGGTTTTAATTTTACTTCATTTGAATTCACGCAAACGGCCACCACACTGGACAGCACGACCCTGGGTACCACTTACTACTGCCAAGTGTCACGTGCAGGAGGATTCTTAGGCCAGCTTTGGAAGAGTAAGTCAAGATCGTGCCTCTGGTTAGCTGCACCGTTCGTGTTTTTAACGACAGTCACCACTTTACACCGGTAAGGCCACACCACTCCGGCCTCCGGGGAAGCGGAGCAGAGGATGTGGCGGCGCGCACCGCCCGAGCGCGCACCACCCGAGCACGCACCACCCGAGCGCGTACCTGTACCGTCTTCTTTATCCTGTGGGAAGGGCCTGGGTACTCCGGGGAGTACAGATCGGTGAGGAACAGGGAGTTGATTAACGTCGACTTTCCCAATCCTGATTCACCTGAAAGAAACGGGAAACTCTGTTAGACGCAGTCACGTGACCACCTTAGACATTTGACAGATGATAATCAAACCTGCTTACTGGTGGGACGAGGAGGTGACATTAGCAAATATACCACACGGATTCCTTTTTAGAGTAAGTACTTTGCCCCTAAATTAGATTCACATTCCCAAGGCTCTTTTCTATTTCTAAGTGTACCATGTGAGTTCTATAAAGTGAAGCGTCTAATACAACAATCCACTTCTGTAACCTAACGTATTCTAGAGATTAAAGTCAGCCGTTATGAGAGAATTCTAGCCGGCTGATATCCTACTGCTTCAGCAGAATAAGCAGCAACAGTTTGCTCTTTTGTTTCCCATAGGGCGTGTGCACTCACCAGAGAGAGAGAGAGAGCGAGGACTCATCCCCCAGAGGGCGCGCCACGCTGACCCCTCGTTGTCACACACCTCAGAGCACAGGTGCACACGTGCCTGGCAGGAGTTCCAAGCCGCCGTCAGGGACTTGGATCCCAGAGTCAGCTCAGAGAGATCCAGATGCCTTAACCTCCACAGCACCTGCAGGCCCTCAACCTTTATTACAGACAATGAAGAATGACCACAGAAAGAAGTCCTGCAGCTATAAAAGGAAGGGAGTCTACTGACAACGGAAGAGCTACCAGTCACTGCACCTTGGCACAGAGCGTTAATCTCGGGGAATTCTCTCCAGCCCGCCCACCCACACTAACAGCTGACCCAAAGGACGCCGAACCCCAGGGAGTACCGCAGGACACGGCTGCTGCTCCGGTGGGACCGGGTCGGAGGAGGTAAGACGCAGCTCCACGCGATCACGCGCTGCTGGGGTCTGCCTCGTCCGTCCGACACATAGCTCCGAGTCCACAGCTGGTTCTCACAGACACTCGGATGGCGTCAGAGCACGCCAGGCAAGGGGGAGGCAGATCAGAAACTACACCACAATCACTGAGTAGTGGGGGTCAGAGTACAGGTAACAGCTATCTCCAGCCTAGGCGTACGGCACCACGGCACGTACAGGTCTACGCCGAGTCTTTTTATGTGAACTCTTAAAAGATTCGTTGAGATCCTTTCTACGTGGTCTGGGTCAGCTCCTCCGAGGGCGTGCAATTTTTACTAGGTGGAAAAATACCAGAAATGTCAGAAGACACAGAAATATCATGGAAATTAACTTAATAGGTTTCCCACATGTCCACAACGCCTTGTTAACTATGACACCTTACAGAAAGAGAGTCGAGAATAAACCCCAAGTATTTGGTCATCTTTTAGAAACATAAATGGATAATTTAGGGACCAGCAGTTAGTGTAATGGCTATGTTGCTGGACTCCCACGGAGTAGACGGTCCCAGACCCGGTGACTTAAACTCAGGCCGGGCGCATATGCGTGCATGCCCAGGATCCCAAGAGGAGAATGGAGGAGAAGGGATTACAGCGTGGCCATCCCCCCGTGTCTCGCTCTGTCTTTCTGGTGAGCACACACACCTTATCGCAAAAACCTCTCCCTCCCAAAAAAACGAAAGAAAGAAAGAAAAAAAAAATGCAAAGTTAAAATTTACACTATACGAAAAACTTAACCCGATACTAATTAAACTAATGTTTAGAATTTTTCTTTTTCAAAAGTTCAAAAGAGAACCATTCCCAACAAGGTCTTAATCATCTGCCTCAACCTTCTGGGGACTTGCAGTTTTCACAGACGCTACTGACCGCTTCTCCCACCCGAGGTGGAGCCAGGATGGGTTCTTACGGCCATCCAGGAAGGCTGAAAGGTTGAAGGAAGACCACGGCCTTGACCACGGCGCTTCCCAACCGAGGGGACTAGCAGACGGAAGGAACGGGCTTCCCCCCCCATCCTGGCTCATCGAGTTTAACAGTGAAGGCAGGCCCAGCGCTTTACCGCACTAATGCGGAGTTTCAAGCTGGAAAAATACGAAGCAAAGAAATTCGAAGTTTGCGCCCGCTTCAGCAGCACAGGTGCTAGGACTGAACAGTGCGGAGACCCGCATGGCCCTGCATGGGGATGGCACCCAAGTTCAAAGAGGTCCGTATTTTTGAAATTGAGGTACTGACAAGCTGTTTGTCTGTTGATATATTTGGCTTTTTTTATTTTTTCCTAGTCCAGCCTGGACAAGTTACCTTTATAATAAAGGCTAATTTTCTGATTTGTATCAGACTATAATTAATTAAAAAAGAAATCCCAATTTTAGAAGAGGGGGCCGGTCCAGTGGCACAGTGGATAAAGGAGCCAGATCTCACAGCCCACTGAAGCTGAATCGCAGCCCCATGACTTGAAAAACACACCAGGCACATGTGCATACAAGCCCCGAACCCAGCATGGGGAGAAATGAAGAAGAGACTGTGGTGTGGCCACACCCCACGGGGGGGGGGGAAGCTCTCTCCTTCTCACCTCTGGTGAGTGCCACACCCCACCAAGGGGAAGCTCTCTCCTTCTCACCTCTCTGGTGAGTGCACACACCCTTTGGCAATATTTAAAACAAACGAAAAAAAAAAAAATGAGCAGGTATACGAGAAAAAAGCCCAAGTTCAATAATTTCTAGCCTGTTTAGGGTGAGTACGCTGTACCTAGTCCCAGCAGCAAATCCCACGTCCTGCGCCCGAATCAGAACCTCCTCTTTGGCAGGTTGAGAACAAAGACATACAAAGGCATGGCCATTCCTTCCAGAACCATACCCTGACTCCGTCAGCTCTCTTCTGGAGCACCATGGTCAAAGCCCAGTAAGCAAGCCGGTAGAGATTTTAGTGGGCTACTGTGTTGTCTCAGCGACTGTACGATCATGTTACAGAGGTTACCGAGATGCCATTCCAGTACGCTTGATAAGAGTGAGTGTATTTGCTAAAGGAAAGTCACCTGACTCCAACCACGGTGACTGGTCTGAAGCTACCCTACCGTGGGCGCTCTGGGGATGGAAGCGCTCTGACGCTCCATGAATAGCGCTTCCACTCGGCAGCACAATATGAAAGACAGCACCTGACAGCTACGGAGATAGTTTGATAAGGACATATTAGCCTCCAGAGTTTTCCCAAGTACTCCAGAGGTTTAGTTAGGTCCAGTCCAACCTTCTCTATGCTTCATTAAAGTACCTCAAATTCTTCTTCAAAGTCATCTCACATTAAAAAAAGAAAGAAAGAAAAAGAGAAGCCCCTAACTAAAAGGAGGTACTAGTGCAAGTTGGGGTTCTTAAAGCAAAGGTGGGGAGTCCACTGGAGCTTTACAGTTCTTTCAAATTTCTTACCCCAGTTTCACCAAAAAACCGGTTTTGTGACCTTTGGCAAAGGACAGTCGCTATGCTTCAGCGTCCTATCTATAAGGCCGGCAGCAGTACCGGGGGCGGGCATCCTGGAGCTGCAGAACGGCAGGGCTGGTGGCAGGGCAGCCCCGGGAGGTCAATGAACCCACGCTGGGTGGAGGCAGGGAATGAAAGGGCTTTCATCACCGTTCCTGCTTCCTCCTACAAAAAGGGCCCAGCAGAACTACACAGAGGAAGAGCCAGAGGTGAGCAGAGGTCTCAGGGACTGAGGAGACACCAAGGCGAGGGGGTGGAGCCCAAGGGGCCAGGGACACAGTAAGGACACTAAGGACCTCAAAGCAGCAGGAAGCTGAGAGCAGTACGGCTGGGCCCGAGTGTGACAGTAAGCTACTAATCTGCACTCTAGCTAGTACAGTAGTATCGCTCTCATTAAGTCTGCTTTTCCACAATTACGGGGCACACACAGCAGCCTGTCCGAAGCCTGCCGCAGTGACTCCCAATTACAACCAGTCCTCCCGCACGGGCGCTACGGAGGGAAACCAGAGTCGCACAAGAACAAGGGCACCCGGCCCTGTCCTCACGGACTCGAAATGTAGGCTCTGCGGGCACGACCTAAGTAAGGCTTGCCTCTGCGTTATTCAGGAAACGTGTAAAATGAACAAGGTTCCCAGTCGGACCGAAGAGCAGCGGCTAAGCGCTGTGCAGAGAAAACAAGACTCCACGTGGCTGACCATGATTCGAACCGCAGCCCTGGCAGCCCATGAAAGAAACCTGCCGGCACCAGCAAATGGTGTACTGGCTACGTCCCTGGACTCCCACGCCCCGGACCGTGGCTCAAGTCCCGGACCCGGTGGCTTAAAACTCATGTCGGGCGTGCGTGCGTGCGTGTGTGTGTGTGTGTGCACGCACGCACACCCAAACTTCCAAAGGGAGACTGGAGAAGGGACTGCGGTGTGGCCATCCTCCCTGGGGTGATTTCTCGCTTTCTGTCTCGCTGTCTCTCCCGCGAGCCCACACACCCTACAGCAAAAACCTGTCTAAAAAAGGAAAAGAAGTATGCCCAGTGCCCGTGATGTACCGTGCGCCTGATGGAAGGACAGGCAGGAAGGGCTGCGTGACCGCGCGCCCTAGAACGGCACTTTCTCCCTGGCAAGCACATGTGCCTACTGGCAATTAAAAAATGAAAACCATAACAAAGTTCAGAATTGCACATTCTGCCATAAGAAAATAAAACTATCTGAGAAAATAGAAATAGAATCTCTGTAACATTTTATATTTCTTTATAAATATTTTAGCAAATTCTGAACAACATGTCAACGGATCCAAATTAAAGCCTACTTGACATTTCTTTTGACTTTGAAATGCACTATGTATATTTTGCAACAAAGTCGTTTTTATTCCTTATTTTCCCAGACTTCAAAGAGAAATAAGTGAATTTAAATTCTTTCCAGTCCTTCTTAAATGTTATAATGAATACCAGCAGAGGGCATTATGGTGACATCACTGGACCCCACGTAGCTGACCGCAGTTCGAGACCCAGACCCAGCCTAAAACTCGAGCTGGGTGCGCGTGTGGCGTGCCTTAGCGGAGAATGGGGGAGGGACTGTAGCGTGGCCAACCCCCCAGGGCGGTGATTTCTCGTTCTCTGTCTCTCTCTCTGGTGAGCGCATGCGCCACATGGCAAAAATCTCTCTTAAAAAAAAAAAGAAAAAGAAGGGACCAGCAG